CGAAGTGTATGCTACCAGCTCGGAAAATTACTGATTTATGCATTACTTTCAAGTAATAACCAAGTTTTTATACTGTAAAGGTAGAAAGGATGTCGCTGCAAACCTCATAAAAAATATTCTGTAAAGATGTCTGAGATTGATAAATCCATTTAAGCATGCTCAGAGTTTAGGTATATCTTCTGGAGATCGAGCAACTCAGGTCTATTTTACACGAAATTTCATCAAACAGTGAGTGAACACCGTAAGATAAGATTCGCGTGAATCTTATCTTATAGACACCCGTGGTCGTGCATCATTCACATGAACTGTATCCACTGAGGCACTTCGTCTGACGACTAGTGCATGTGCGGATGCATGACTGATAAAGTCAATGACAGTGTATGCCGTAATTCAATGAGACGCGAAGCCAATGCCACTGGAAATAGCACTGCGCAGCTTGTCCACAATGGGTGATAGATATTCTATCACATTACGTTTTTCCTTTATCCGTAATAAACACCAATCAGAAAGACATCATTTTAGGGATTTTTGAACCCCACCACCACCAATGTGTGGCATAGTTTGCATACGTGAACTTCGAAGTACCTTTATCCCGTCTATGACCAACCGTAACTCTAACATGCATCCAGGGTACACAACTCTATCAGAAAGTGCTCTCTCCATTGTTTCTTGTAGACCAAAATGCTCACATTCTCCGCCATCCATGCGAAGAGGTTGAACAATTGGGTGTCTGCATCCGTGGTTCACAGTAATGCAGGATGAAGACAGTGAAGGTGCTTTTCTATTCGGGATTTGGAACTTTATTGATATGCGAAGTGCACGGACGAGTTTGCAATTCTGTGGATGCTAAAACCAAAAAAGTGGGTATATTTACCTGTCTTCGGAATACACTGATTGCTGAATGTGAGTGTTACTTCATTATGCTCACTTCTACAAAGCAAGTCGTAACCTGTAAATGAGTGGATCACGTTACCCTCCACCGCCCCATCAACATCCATTTTCGTAACTATAAGTATACTACTCACAAGTAGCATAATAAATCATAAATTTGAAATCCAGTACAGATGCGTTAGAATTCTCCGATATAGGGTATGAAGAAAGTTTACTTAATATAGACTACATAATAAATGTTTAACAGAGATACAATTGAATATGTTTTAAATATATAAGTACACAATGTTGTTCGTAAGTGTTTTCCCAGAGAAATCCAACCACGTTCTATTGCAAATCCGGTAACATTTTTCAATCTTCTTTTAATATGACTCCAAAAGGATTCTACATTTCTTGTGTCAATCGCGGTTAAGGAAACCATCAGTATGTTTTACACACTGACGCATATTCAGATTCCTGCCGATGTATAACACGGTTCCAGGTATATGTGCATTCTTTCGGGAACAAGCCCCGGCCTTCCATATACTCAACACAAGCCTCGTCTTGAAATTCAAACAGGACACGATACATGTTATAAAAATATCTGAAGGTCACAAATGGCAACAAAAGGCTCGAAAATGCACTTTTGATAATATACGTTATTGGTAAGAATATTTATCCTAAAAATATACATATTACGTTCATTTATAAATTACCGCTGTTCGATAATCAAATTCGGATGGGGTACTGAGGGAAACGTGCACCGACGGAGTCCATTCACCAATTTATGCGTGCAAAATACCGCATTAGTTAAACCGTACCAATTATGTTAAACATGTTTTTCTAGACCTATATTTGAGTATGGTTTGTTCAGGTAAGCACGCATTTTACGATACTGAGTATATCTGCTAGTACCATGAGACATGATTGAAGCCGCATAAATGTCCTGTTGAGTTGTGGAGTAAGATATACATCTTGGAAGATCTACTTGTCAAGGATGGTTTTTAAAACTAGGCATTTTTCTTTACCCGTTTGCACTTTTGGATATTTGGTTTATTAGGTTGACTTTTTCATGGGTGAGTTCCCTCTTCGGAGCATATTATTTCACAATAATACAATCATACTATACAATAATACTGATTTGTTTTCAATATTCTTCCCTGGGGGATTTTATTGAAATTTTCTTATTCACGAAGATGGACCTCGTGCGAGAATTTCCATTTCATAATGAAAGCGGACAGTATTTTGTTGTTTTTTCATCACTCATGAAGGTTTTCATGCATTGAGAATATTTTTTTTCATTTTATGAACCATTAAATTATTTTTCTTCGGTTTTCCAATAAATGTGTCTGCAGTGATACATTTGCCTATCATGAGTCAAAACTTTCTTCTAGGATATCAAGGAACAGATATATAAGGGAATCCATAAATTTTTTACTGAAAGTGACAAAAAGAAATATTTTGTTCATCACCCAAGTAGCACGTCGTCGGTTAATAGCGCCCCGGCTACATTTGAGCTACAAATGAGCCACGGTATCGAAATTGTAGTGCATTTTTAGCCCATTAGTCGGATCATAGCTCGCTAATAGACAGCTACAATGAATTTCATTGTATAACGTCCCGTTTTAACTTTTCTGCCTTGTTCAGGTCTCTAATCCCCTAATTACCCTATATTTTCATATGGATTTGCTAACCTCGGAATTGACTCCAGGATATTTTGCGTACTGATAAGAACGCACCAAAGTTTATTATTGAAGGAAACAACGTGTGTTTCTGGTCATCCAGTGCACGTTGAGGAGTTTATAAACCGACGGGATGGTTGCCTCATCAATCTAACCACTGCAGTGGTTGGTTATTCGTTTTGCATTCTGACGATTTAATCCCGGGAAGTTGTGCCTGTGAACGGCATCTGAAAAGGAAATAGTTTACATCAAAATTAAATAAAAAATAAAAATTGTATAGTGGAAAATGTAACCAATGGTAAACAAATAAATAAACTTACACCTCAAAAACGCTTTGAAGCATCATGGTCTTTCTGAGGTGAACGTGATATAATATTATAGTATTATATGCTTAAGCATGAATAACTATTTGTAGGTAGAATTGGAGTGGCTAAATGTGTCACGTATATATTACATGCAATAATGATACTATAATAATTAATATAATGTTTCAAATAAATAATCAATTATTCCACTTCTAAAAAATAAAAGCTTTCACAGTTTAAGATACCATGTGACATGTCTCTTAAGTTTAATTGAAGAATGCACACCTACCGATTATGGCCTCGGTAATGGGTGATTTAGTCAATGCTAAATGACCATGAATACCATTCCAGTTAAGATTGGGTCCCGGGTTTTGAGTAAAAATCCTACGTTTCATGGACCGAATGCATTCCCCAACGTTGGCTCCACCGGTAACAAAGAGGTACTCCACCTGAGTCGCGATTGAAATACATTGTAATGCCACTTACTAAATTAGCGAAGATATCCGCGAACCTCAATTTTTCGTTTAGCCGGTTGAAGTCTTTCACGCTGTCCGGTAGGCGCATGCTCACAGAACAATACTTGTCCTGAACGATAGAGCATTAATTTTAGCTCCATGTTCCTCAATTAGCTTTATAGCTTTCTTTAGATGACTCTCGATGGTTGTAAGTCTGTGAGCTGCAAGCTTCGTGTTACAGTTGTTCACTTGGACTTACCAAATTCAGTCATCGGGTGATCCTCTGGCATAAGTTTGGAGGGGGCTGTTCACAGTAAGCTGAATGTTGATCACTGAAGTGCTATAAAGTTTAGTTGTATCTAATAGATCTCTTTACCTTCCTGTGTCCACTGTGGTTGTCAAAGTTTGTGTGCTTTTATTTTGCACACGTTCCTGATTGTCCACAGTTTCTATTCTGGAACTAATATAAGTTGAGACTATCCGGTTATGGTACCTTGAAGTCACTTCTTTAATTGTGAAGTCAATATCACTAGATGTTGAGCTGAAAAACAAGAGTTTGTGTTTGATCACCGGAGATCTTATTCGAAGTAGACTGAGCTTTTGGCTGGGGGGAACGTTTTCTTTATCACTGTGGTCAGGTCTAATTAAGTTATTTGTATAACAAACACCAGTCAAGAATCTCACACTTCCAAGTTCGTTACACCAGAAGATCAGTTCCACATTGTAAATTTCACCCCAAAGAAACGTGATAGGGTCACCACAGCGAACTAATAGCCAAGGTAAAAGGCTATGTAAAAAGTTAGCGTTGGAGATTAATTCTATTAAACCGTAAAAATAGTCAAGCAATAGGGCTGCCCCCACCGCACTCCTTTCCTCAGATTCTCGTGTTCTAAAGCCTACTCGTTGGCTTTCATTGTTGAACGTGGACGATTTTGATAATTTCACACGCTGGAGAAAATGCTCGTATGAGTCGTTGAATCAATTTTGGGATGATTTTTCTGATTTTTAATTGGCTACGTGCACTCAGTTTTATATTTACAATTCTAGATCACGTGCTTCGGAAGATTTGAGATCCATCCATCATAGATGGTCTA